AATCCACTGAGCTATTTGGCCGGCCCACAACGGTATTTTTCTATGTGTTTTGTAGAATGATTCCTCCAAAGTTCCTTATGGTACCTGTGAGAAGCATGCCTAAGAGGCGGGATGCATGCTTTTCTGGGAACGGATGACTATACGTGTGCTCTGGAGGCCCCGTGTGCACATGCACACACTCGTGAGCAGTAGTAAGAAGGACCTCCTTGCTCTGTGTGAAGCAACTGTCATCAATTGGTCTCACATCTGTCCCCTTCCTTGTTACACTGCTCAAATATCTCAACCAGGTGCTATGTGCTCAACCTTCTGTTATCCAGCTAAACACCCAGGTCTGTCACATGCCCTTGTGTGACTGTTTCCAGGGTGGCCTAACCCCCATCTGACCAGAACCATATATATGGAGGGTCTGTCATCGTCCTTGTTTTGGAAGGTCTTAGTCAGCTCTTGTGAGAACCACACAAAATTGCTAATTAAAAATAGATGTGTGGGATAAAGGGTTTTTTTGAAAACTATGTACAAGTTTCACTATTTTTTAAAAAAATCTAAATCTTTTCTGAAAAATGAAGGTCATTAAATAAAATCAAATGATATATCATAAATATAAAATCTAATTTGAGATAACATTCCCCTTAAAAGGAAATTTGCCTTCAAAATTTACTTCTTATGTCCAATAGTAATTTATTTCTGTGTATTTATTTTATAAGTCAAGTAATATTTTGTTGCCATCTACTTAGGCCCCAATTCTGGTAACTTCCGTGAAACCACTAAAATGTGATACCACAGAGATTTAACAACAAATATACAGCAAAAGGATTGTTCATAAACATTTAGCAGGACAAGTCAGTATGGCTTCTTTAAAATATTAATGACCACAATAAAACTCTAAGTTCTGTTTACTGACTTTAATTTTTAGAGATATATTAAAATTAAGCCAATTTAAATTTTAAGTCATTTCACAAATAGCTCTCTAACACAAGTTAAAATAAAAATCCATAAGGATAGAAGACATCTAAATTTGGTTCCTATCTACTTTCTTAGTCATAACGGGAAAGCTTAATGTACACATATATTTAAAAAATTTACACTTCACTGTTATTTAATACTTAATATGATTTTTTTTTTTCGTGGAACCGGTGATTGAACTCAGGCCCTTGTGCTTGTCAAGGAAGCGCTTATTCCACTGAGCCATCTCCCTAGCCCCAATATGGTATGTTTTTTTTAAAACAACTATAAAATAGTTACCTTAGGAAAGTGTTTGTAGATAAGGCACAAAAAACATCACGAAGAGTCTGTGAATAGAATCAAACCGAAGAGATTTTTCTAAGCAATGTTGCACCATTTTAAATGTTCTGCTTAGTTAATGCAAACACTATTACAGAAAGATTCTTTTTTAATGTTAAAGTGAGTTTTCAAGAACAGGTAAGTTCCAGTTCTGTCACAGGAAAATCACTTTTTAAAATGATAACTCTGTTCTATAAAGTGCGCTGGAATAGATTGCAAGGTGCACTTGAGCTCTGAGGTCCTAAGTTTCCCTCATGTGCAGAAGTTCTTGCTAGTGAGGAAATTCGCATTTCTACCGAAGGTTGATATGGGGTAGCAGGCTGGTGCCTACACAGGAAGCAGCTTCTCCTGTGCAGGGCCTGTTTGATCTCAGCCTAGCTAGTAAATGCAGACCTTTCCCTCCCCCCACTCACCTGTGTTCTTGCTTCCCTCAGAACTCTGGATCATAATGAACCAGTTGTGGACACACAAGCCTCCCTGGTTACTCTTGAATCCAAAGTGACTGCTACAGGAGGCTACAGAACTCATCGGAATGGGCCCGGTGAGTGAGCCCCAGAGAGGAAGGAAACATGAGGCTGGCCCGAGATGTGAGCAAAAAAACAAAACATTTAACGGAAACTTAGAAATTACCTGTCTATGGGATTTGTGGTTTATGGCTCAGAGACAAACATGTAAAAACAATACATAGTTGAACTTGGACTCTAATTGAAAATGAAATGCAAGTTTAGACTTTGTCTCTCACTGATTCATAGAAGAAGGTCTCAAATGCCATAAGCTGTGTGTGTGCGTGCATGCGTGTCTGTGTGCAGGGGCAGCTGTTAGTACACACACGTAGTGGGGATGTGTTGTGCTCAGGGGATATTCATGAGTTTATGAGTCTTGGCGCTTAATTTATTTTTTTAAAAAACACAGCAACAGCAGATATACATTGTACTTTCTCCCAGCTTGGTTGTCTCTTCATTAAAAACACAGTGCATTCACACGTTAGCCCCCCAGTGAGCCCTAGAAGAATGCCACAGACAGGCTTGGCGGAACAGAAACAGGTATGGAAGATCTTGGCCCAGAAAATGGAGAGCCGCAAGCTTGCTCCTGCCTAGCCCCCTCCCGCTCTTTGCCTCATCCTGACTGGTTCTGAGTGGTCCCCGAGGAGCTGGAAAGAGCCACTCACAAATTATTCATATTCTATGTGAAAATGAAGGAACAATGCGTGTGGGCATGGAGACACACACAGGTTGCCCTTAAATACAGAAAATTCCTTTAAACAGGACCACAATTAGTATGGTGAAGAGAAATCATGCTATTGAAAAGTATGAAATAAATACATATTACTTAAGAAAAGGCAACTGGTAAATAGTATTAATTAAGCTGGTTAAGACAAAAAAAAAAAAAAAAAAAAAAGCAACACTCACAAACCCCTAAGCGTGAACTGTCATGAAATGAGCTTTCAGACACATCTCCTGCAGACCAAGTATATCTGGCAGTGGTATTCTAAAGATTATCTCTTTTATTGTGACATTTATCTCTTCTGTTGGAAAAACACTTGGTGTTCAGCAAAAGATATTTCTAAAGGCTATACAAAGCCAGGTGCGCTGGGCATGCCTGTAATCCCAGCACTTGAGAGGCCCAGGCAGAACAGTGACCTCCCGGCCAACCCTGTTTCAAAAAAGAAAAACTGAGGAGGAGGTGTGGTAGTGCGTGTGGGCATGGACAGCAGGAACAGGAGAAGGAGAAACGTAAATGCAAGTTTTCTCCGAGCTTGTCTAAACAAAACAGATTAAAATTTCTTTTAACTGTGCTTTAAATGGGAAAAATACTGAAGTCATCACTGCATTTTTCTTTCTCGCTACCTACCACAACTGTAATTCTTTAATTATGTGTGTGATTATTTGCTTAATGCTTCTACTTTCCATCCTCCAGGACCGCCCAAGACAGGGTTGGCCGTGTTTTATTTCTCCAGAGTGCCTACAATGTCAGTGTAATTCCTATACATAGTAGGGGATTGGCAAAATCTTTTAAAAGGATAAATAAAAATATTTTAATGATGTACATATTTGGAAAAACAACTATAATAACTAGATCGAAAAAGACCTGGAAAAAAACATAAAGAAAGATTCTGTCCTATTTAAAAATAATGAATTCTGAGCAATTACCATTAATTGACTAGAATTCTTAATTGGAACTTGAAGTGAAAAAAATTAAAAAGTACCTTTTTAAAGATAAAAAAAGTAATCACCATAACAACTGGAAGCAATAACGTCTTTGTGTATCTCAACGGAGTCTGAAATACAGCAAATTATTCAAAATAGTTACTGAATTTTCCATTAACTTAGTAAAAATCTATGTCAAATTGAGTGACACAGTGATATTTCTTAAAGTTAAAATGTCTTTATCATTAACAAAATACAAATCTTATCAACTTCTACATTCTAATGAAACAATCAAAATTATAAAATTACACAAGCTATTTAACAAGATTAATAATAAACCTATTAAACCTAGAATTAGCTAGATCCCTTACATTTTCTTTTATTCGCATCTACCTCTTCTTTATTTACAAAATGTTAACACGCACGCTTACTGCTGTCTGGGCCTGATTGTTATTTCCTGCTCTGCAAAGCTGGAGTATTTTCATCTATGAAACAAGAGCTAAAAGCAAGAAAGCTAGCCAAAATGAACACTGGATGCAGAAAATGTGCCAAGGTATTACCAGGCAAGTAATCCTCGTGACATATTCTGGTGATAGGGCGTGATCTGCCATTTAACGACTATCTTTCTTGAACCAGGTTGTTTTCCTCTCCACTGGCCTATAGCAAACTGCTTCATAGATAATTAGTGACCAATAATAGTTTTTGAATGAATGAGTGACTGGTTGAATAAAGAAGAGAATAATGTAAAATATCATTATTGTATTTGCCACTAATTCACAATTCACCATTATTAGACAAGGACTGATCCAGTGACAATTTCTTCCTATTTTATGAAGATAAAGTCAGTCTCAGATATAAGAAAGCACACTGGCTTGGAAGAGTCCATGTGCTAATTTTAATTCTGGTTCCAGTGTGTGCAATCTTTTAGGCAAATCTTTTAAGCTTTGTTTTCTTTATCTGCAAGTGGGAAATTATATGACACGTTCACTAATATTCCTTCCTGATCTTATTTTTCATGGTCCTAAAAGGAGGCAAGTATTTTAAGACTTAACAACTTGAACATTTTTTAAAAGATAATACCATGGATTTTAAGTTTGTAATATTGAAAATGAATTTTGTGCACTTATTAAAAGTCATTAGCAATACACTGTTGTACATTTAATGATATGTTGGGTATTAAATACAATAAAACTGCATTTCTTAAAAAATAGAATGTGGATTTTATTTTCCCAAATGGTCCTGCATTAACCATTATTTTTTAGGAAAAGGTTATAGGACTTCACACATAAGGCAGGAAAAGAATATATGGCTAGCAAATATTATAGTCAAAGATGACACGGTAAATAAATTTGGTACAGCTGAGTAAAAATTTTGAGTTTCACATTAAGAGTAAAACTGAACAGTAATACCACCATACCTGTAGAGAAGGGGAAACTAAAGAAATAGGCATACCACTCGTTCCATGAAGTAAGACTCAGGAGCACAGGTGTACATTAAGGTATCAAAATCTGCATACCGTAAGATTCTAGCTGCTATAATGTCACTCAGGCGAATCTGGAAGAAAATAAAAAACAGATTAGAATAGCACAAGTGATCCCTTAAGTGATGGTAGTGAGTAATAACCGATGTACGTAGAGTAATAAATGGATGTGTCTCAAAAACAAGCCAAATATACAGTGAATCAAATGTCTCATATGCTGATTTCCCAAGATAATGGAAAATAAAGAGAAATATAAAAAAATTGAAATAAGTAAAAAAAAAGCAGAGAAAATAATAAAGCAAAAATCAACACTTGGTGGGAAAAATTACTATACAGTTATTCACAACATTATTTTATTATAAAAAATCCAATTACAAATTTCACCTCACACTGTAAGTCACAACTTTCAAAGCTTTGTTATGTTCACCAAGCCTCCTACACTGGTGACATTTGTTACTTCTTGACATGAGGTTTGGCTACCTGCTGTCAGGGAGGGAAGTATTTTTCCACTGCATTCTCAGAAAGGCAGGAAAAGGAAGATATTTAGCATGTGCAGGCTGAATTCAAATTATCTGGAAGGAACAGTAAGTATTTCACAAGTGTGACTACTATCAGAGTTTTTGCATTCACAGTTTCTTCTTTCTATCAGCACCATGGGTAATTTAGAGAAGTTCTTTATTTTTCCAGTTCAAAATAGATCTGTTGATTAATGATGTTAATCTAGCATTTCAAGTGTTTCTCACATCTGTCAGCTAGGGAAAGTAACTTACAACTGCCAAGATAGTGTGTGTGTGTGTGTGTGTGTGTGTGTGTGTGTGCTGCTTTTAAGATTTGTAAACAATGGGGTGACAACTATGGAGCAAGGTAAGAAACAAAAACCACAGAATAATTTAAATGATAAATAACTTAGAAAGCCTAGGTGAAGTTTGTTATACCCTAAAAATATAGACTCAATGAAATAAAAAGAATGATCAAAGAAAAGGGAAATGTTTCAGACAAAGGGCTGAACAAACAAAAAATAAATCTACTACACCACTATTCAAAGCTAGCAATAAATAGCAAATAAATGCTTCCATTTAGAAATTTTATATAACATTAGTATGCTGTATGATTGGATAGTAATGACCTTTCAGAGCGGGTGTACTATAATCAGTGTTAAGGGGTTCACATCATACTAGCACTAGTCAGGTCCCCGACTGAATGTCATCAGGTAAGGTATGGTGTGATTGCTTATGTATGGTTATTTCTTAACAGAAAGTGCTAGAAATCAAACATTGTTTTTTATTCATTGTATCAGGTCCTTCAATAGGAACTTAAGCCATGGAATAAAACATTATTTAAGATATCAACCTTAAAACAGAGTAATACTGTATGACGGATGAAAGCTCTGTATATAATTTGTGAAAATGAAGACAAAATGAGTGGAGGCATCCCACATGGCCAACCAGAGGAGGAGTCAAGTCAGAGGGGCTCAGAGAGCCAATTCCAGGGATAAGGTCAGATTCTGCCTGAGAGCTGGGAGGGAGAATTCCAAAGACAGAGAACATAGTCCAAGTAACTTAAATGGCTGAAGGGGTCAATATTTTCTCTGAACAAATAAAACTAAAAATGCATCATTAGAAGGCAGTACCTTACTAAAAGTACTTCATATTAATTACTCTCTTCACATTACTTGAACTCATATCAGCACCCAAAAAAGGGGAAAAAATGGGGACAGGGATAACCCCCACCCAGAGAGCGAGAGCAAGAGGGAGAGCGAGGAGTATGGGAAAACAAGGCAACAAAAAAACCCTGAAGTTCCTCTAACTTTGCCAACATAGACCTAGGGGACACTGATGGACAGGAAAGCAAACACCAGGTAGCAGAGCTTTATATAGGTTGACTGAAGAATTAAAAAACCTTGGTAAGTTTCTCAAAGAGGCTATGACCCAAAAGTTTATGGAATTATCATATGAAATGGTGAATGTGGATTTGAGGTAAATAAAAACTGGAAAAGTTCACCAAATCAGTTCAAAACATGAATGTCAAATTTACCAAAGATTCCATCAAAGGTATCAGACAGAAATATGAGACATAAAAAACTGTGCAGAACTCATAAATTGCAGAAATGACTAATGTAAAGATAGGATTTCTAAAAATGAGGACAAAGGGGTAAATTATGACAAATTACTAAAAGAAATTATAAACGATAAACAAAAAACTCTGTCAACAACTACTAAACAACACTAAGAAAACAACTTAAAGCTAATTGGAGTTAGAGTGAAACTAGAAGGTGGCACCCATGGAATAAATCTGTTTACAGAAATCGTAACAGAAAACTTCCCAAGTATGAGGAATGAATTCAACATACTAATAGATGAAGCTTACAGAACACCAAAGTACAGTGAAAAAATTTATGACAAGTTATGCACCATGGCAAGTTATAATTAAAGTACCAGACACTGAGCACACACACACACACACACACACACACACACACACACACACACAGATTTTTAAAAACTGTCAGTAAAAAGCAGAAAATCCCAATAGAAAAATAAAACTATTAAATTTATTTCTTGCAAGACTTGAAGTATCAGGACTGGGAAAATAGCTCAGTAGAATAAGCATTTGTCTGTCAAGTGCAGGGTCTTGAGTTCAATCCCCAGTACCACAAAATAAGTAAGTAAGTAAATAAATAAATAAATAAAATTAAAAAATTGAAGTACTCTGCTCCATGCTCTTCTTGACTTGATGGTTTGTGAAAAGAAATCTTCCGTTATTATGATATTTCCTTTAAATGTGATCTGTTTCTTTTCTCTAGCATCTTGTAGTATACTGTTTCTGTGCTGAATTTCTGGGATCTTGATTATTACATGTCTGGGTGTTTTTTTTTTTCATGAATTAAGTGTTGTCTTTAATTGAAAAGCTAACAAACTGTCTAGTTACATTTCTCCCCCAAACCACAAACTCGGCAATTACTAAGTCTCTAGGCAACATATTCAAAGCTGAGATTAAAAATTTTAAAACAAATCAAGTCCTCAGGTC